GATTAAATGATTGTTTTCTTTTCTTTGGTCTATCTTTTCTTTGACCACTAGTTGTTCGATCAGATCTTGTAACTTTACTTATATTTTATAAATAAAAATTTATAAACACTTATAGTAAAAATTGTCGAACGCTTATAACCTCAATTCAACCTATTGGCTCAAGAAGCAACAATCAACTAAAATATTGTAAACTAATGAGAGTTGCCCTTGAATTGTAAAAGAAAGTGGGAAAGGCCGACCAACAATGGCTATGCAGCGCTGCACTGACGTGGCCTGATGGGCGGAACTTCCGAAGGGTCTATCTCTTAGAATATTACTCGGATCGATTTGAAATTTTAGGATGAATATTTTAAACATATTGTACAATTTAATAAGACAAGACAAAAAAATCGAAATTTTTGAAATTTTCAAACCCACCTAACCCCTTAAATTAAATGTTCAGAAAACAATTATTTATTGCCTGTTAAGCAGAATATTTTTAATAGTGTAGCGAAAATTGTTGATTGAAGGAAGATACATAAGATGTTGAAACAAATTATAAAACTTAACTAAATTATAGGTAAAAGAATGCTCAAACAGTGCAGTAGAATGGTGTGGCATGGTAAGAGTATTAAATCGAATGTTACAATTATTGTGGACGGCATTTCTAAAAATTACCTTTTCAAACAAATATAAAGGAATCCTATTTTTAAATAAACGGTACAAGAAAGTTAGAAAATGTAGCTGAAATAAATTATTAACTTTTAACCACTTAAGTTCATTAATGTTAAAGGATATGTGATCATATTTCCTCAGATTAAAAATATACGTACAAGTGTTTTGTACACGTTGTAGCTGGTTTTGTGAGGTTTTATCAATGCAAGGGTAATAAAGTGTAATGCAGTAGTTTAGAACTGAGAGAACCAAAGACTCACAAAGCTTTTTACGCATTTTGAAGTTTAAGATATGCTTGTTGACATATAACATACGTATTCTTACATAACATATTTGAAGTAACATTTTAATATGGTCTTTGATTTTTGGCTTTCTTAGAAAAATGTATTCTAACTCCACCCAACTCGAGCCTTAATGAACCTTCACATATATCTTTTGGCCTTACTACAAAATAAGTTTGCTGTGGTTTTAGATGGATTGACTGGAAAATTGAAAAATGGCATCTAAATCCATATTTATATTATTGGTATTAAGAATATCTGCAGGTTCAAAAGAATGAACAATCTGTGTGTCGTCAGCATACAATTGTATTTCACTATTTCTAACAACTTTTGGCAACTCTGAAGTATATATAAGGAATAGCAGGGGGCCCAAAATGGATCCTTGAGGCACCCCTGAGACAATAAATTTGGAATTTGAAAAGCTACCATCAATGCATATACGTTGACTATGTTTTCATAGATAGGACTTAAAAAATGATAGTGCAGGGTCATCTAAGCCATAGTATTTCAGTTTAGCACAAAGTAAGTCGTGGTCAATTAAATCAAAGGCTTTGGAATAGTCTATTGTAATTAGTAGCACACCCAATTTTTTTATCAATAGATCTTATAATATTGTCAGTTAGATTTGATAACGCAGAAGTAGTACTGTGATTTTTGCGAAAGCCAGACTGCTGAGTGGGTATGATATTGTTGTTTGTTACGTAGTCATATAATTGTATATACACAACTTGTTCAAGTATTTTGGATAAGACAGGTAAAAGACTTATTGGACGTAATTCACATACAGTATTAGAATTAGCTATTTTAGGTATGGGACAAACTACTGATTCTCGCCACATTTTCGGAAAGTAACCATACTGTAAACAACAACCAATAATGTGGGTAATATGATCTAGGATCGTCGGCATAGTCAGCTTGATCATATAAAGTGATACTTCATCATTACCAGCAGCATTTGATTTAATCGAATTCCTCAACCTTTGCTATTTCTCATTAGTTTTATCTATTTTATATTTGCGTAAAGCTTCATCTCGCTCTTTGAATATTATTTTGAGTGTGTATGTCAGCCAAGGAGCCCGTGGCTTATCAATAACTTTACTATTAACATCTGGAAGTTGGAGTTATCCCATTGAAAACTAAACAAATCCTGTCTGAATGCTATATGATCAAGATTTTTGAAATCCCTGTAGGTAACAAATTTCGTAACACAAAGCTAGAAAAGTCCAGTTTCTGTGATATATTTTCCATTTTTGTATGATTGCGTCAAATAATATCAAGGTTAGTTTGTCATAAATTGAAGCTGCGAAAATCAAGTTATTTTTGGCTTAGTGCATATGAAGACGCATATCAGCAAAGAATACCTACCCAAGAAGCGAAACTGAATGAGTTTTCGTATGTACCAAAGCAAGGGAACTTAATACACTGGGAAATGTATGAAAATTAATTAGTTTTTGTCGTTTGGTTCATAAGAATTAAGCACATACTAAAGTAACAATGACAGACAGACAATTCGTACTATGTTCATTATGTCAAATAGATTATTTTAATAACGAAATAAGTACTGTAGGTACAATAATACACAATAGCGAAAGCAGATTACCTAGTCATTCTGCAAATTGGGAATTTTGAGAACAATTATGGAACAGTGGTGCAAAGACCATTCACTGTATCAATCCCAAGAAGACAGAAATAATTCTTATCACAAGGAAAATGATGAAAATGGAATTAAAACCTACACCTAAACCTAAATACGAAACAAAACTTTGCAACAAAGGTGAAGTACCTGGGAGCACCTTTGATAACAAGTTAACATGGAATTCGCACTTCAAAAGAGCATACATTACTTATAAACAATTCCACTGAACCGTGAGGCGCACCTGCGGTTTCTCCCCCACAGTCGTCACATTGACTTACATGGCTATCATAAGACCTATGCTAACATACGGTACAGTTGTCTGGGTACCGAAAATTCAAAAATTAACAGCTATCCGCAATATAGAATACAATAGAACAATTTCAAATAACAGCATCTCTCAATATAACAGGAGCCATGAAAACCACACCAACCAAAGTCGTTCTTAGTCTCACTCCCCTTAATATTTACATCAAAGAGGTTGCTCTGATGACAATGACACTCTTCTGCACGGTTGGAATAGAACTTGATGTATGATCTGGTTAGGCGAGACGTCGCTTTTGGCAAAAGGCGCTCGATACGCTCCCACTGCTTCAGGCGAACATGAACTTCATCTCTCCGCGATATATATTACATAAGCCATATGAAGTTATAACAGAACAAATAGAAGAGCCGGAAGTCGCAGGTACAATTTATGTCTACACTGACGGTTCTAAAACAAAACAATGCTCAGGATGTGAAATATACTCCAATTACTTAAACCTCAACATAAAGCAATAGTGCTAATGTAGTTCATGGAGCTCATGGAGATTCTCATAGCAGCAAAAAAATCATCAGAAACAATATCACTGGTAGGAACATGCTTATCTATACAGATAGCAGACGAACACTACTTACCCTGAACAGACTACGAATTTACTCAGGGTTAGTACTAAAATGCCACGAAGATTTGGCAAGAGTATCCATCCAACAAAGTGGTCACCTTAAGATGCCACATTAAAAGGTAGCCTTATTGCTGATTTACCATCCAAGAAGGCGGCCAAACAAATCCTTTTTGGACCTGACCCTTCTATTGGACTGACAACATCGGTAGTGACAGACCTAATTAAAGAATATTCCCTTGTGAAATTGAAGGAAAGATGGGATGAAACAAGAAACTGCTGAATTACCAGGGAGCTTTTAAGTTATCCTGACAACACTACAACAAACAAATACTTGACTACGACTAGACAAAATCTGCGTCTGATCACAGACATTCTGACTGGTCATTGCCAAGTACGGAAGCATCTCCACATAATGGGGCTGTCAGAATCCGCACTCTGCAGGGGGTGCGAACAAAAAGATGAGATCATTGCATTGAACATATCCTCTACGATTGTCAGTCGCTCTCATTTATTAAAAGATTTGTTTTCGGCGAGTATTGGCTAACACCGGCCGATATAAGAGAAGCACCTTTTGGCGACGTTGTCAACTACATTAAATGTGTAGGCTGGCTTACGAGCTAGGAGATCCCTATCGTTTTAGGAGGATACACAATGGGCCTTGTGAGGCGTAAGTGCCGTGGGGTATAGCACCCTCTACACGTTACATATCTAGAAGTACTGTAAGTATCTGTAAATGCATTTCGATTGTATTCTGATAGCAGCGACTTGGTTCCTCGAAGTGAGTTTCTCATATATTTTAATTATTGTTTTGTACTATTGTTTATTTACTGTTTTAATTTCAATGGTTTGAAAAACAAAAAAATAACATATTTTACGAATAAAGCAATGTCTTTTTTGTTTTCATGTAATACAAATTTTAAAACTTTCTAATTTCTAATTACTACTTAGTTAAATACAACTACTTAACTATACTGCAATTTTCACAAAACGCTAATAATAATATACCAAACGTTGCTCTACATAACTGACGTTAAACCACCTCTAAAACACTGAGAAAACTTGGCAGTTTTTTGTCCACGAATCGCCCATTTAGTTTCGCTTCTTGGGTAGGTATTCTTTGATATCAGTATTTCTCATGACAGCGCGAAGGAAATTGACGTGCCAAGTATAATAGACGCCATACCCGCGAACTAACGTGTTTAAAAAATGGCCGACACAATAATTTGCAAAAATTATAACAGCATTTGTGAAATTACAGTTATTTTTGACATCTCTATTTCTCAGATAAGTCGTTACTGTTTAGTAGTAATAGGTAGAGGTCAAATTTAATATAACTTAAACAAAAAATTGTAAGTATTCTAAATTCTTTCATAAATGTTCTTATATAATTTGTATGCACCTAAATTGACGTTACTTTGTAAATAAACTAAGTAAAAATAAAATAATAAAATTTCAAGTTCGTTTGATTGTCCTAGATATCCAGTGTTGGCGCCCTCTGTTATCAAGTTCGAAATTGTATAAGGTTAAAAAAAATTGCTTATTTTTCAGGAATGGTTCTATGATGAAACAGACATATTGGAAATGGATCCCTTTGACGAACCCGACCCTGATTCAGATTTAGATTATGAAGAAAGTTACAGTAAAAGAAGAAGGGGAAGAAAAGGTCTTGGAAGGGTAAATATTTTTTTATATAGTACCAAAATAAATTAAAATATCTCGGGCGTCACCTGTCTTAACGTTTTATTCTATTGTTTCCAAATGTAAAATACAAAAAGGAAGTAACATCAAGTTTAATAGGGAAATAAATGATTTCCTTAAAAACATCTGTAATTTATTTCAATTGTGATTTTTGTATTTTTTTTTTCTTTTTATACAGGATTTGCTTAAAATTGTTTATTTTAAATGTGATACTTTTAGATTCTATACTATATTTTTAACTTGTATTTTGAAAAATGTAATTTAAAAGGTGAATAAAAAATAATTTCTGATGGAGTGACACGTCAAAAAACTATAGTTTAATTGTTATTTATTTCCAATAATAAATTAAAAATCTTTATAATGGCTTATTAAATTTATGTTTATTTATTTAATGAATCTGTTCTATTTATTGTGCTTCTTGACTATTTACTACAATGTATATGTAGTTAAAATGTCTGGCAACAAGGTATTTTTTTAACGAATGAACTTGTAATTAGAAAGTATAGAGATTTTATTCTGAATTATTAGATTTTTTAGAGGACATATTAAATTAGTGACGTTAGTGTTTAGCGTACCGCCGCCATGCGATTTTTTTTTAAATAGCAACGTAGGTCGAGTTATGTATATCACAGAAATTAATCTTACTTCCTCGTTTTTGAAAAAAATTGACTCTAATTCTTTATAACCAAGTTAGTGATTTATCCATTTTGCTCATTTCTTTAATTATTCGTAATTTACGAACCATATTTTATATTTTTGTCATATTCACTACATAATATTCTTTGTCCAGTATGTTGCCCAAATACCCTGTACATGGATTTATTGAGGTTAGCCACTGGTCATATCTCGGAAACTACTGGACATAGAAATTTATTATTAAAATGGCCATGAGAAAATCCTGGAAATTATTTTTACTTTTAATTATGAGATATTCGGCACCATACTGGTCAAAAAATATATGTAGTTAATAGACGTGGGCGATTCGATTCAATTTGGAGATTCGTATCGATCCGATTCGAAATAAAAAAGATTCGTATCAAGTGATTCGTATTTTGATATTAAAGATTCGAGTGACCAAATGAACTAGACATGCTTCCTGATTTGACACGATTTGTATCTCGTATATACCGTATATCGTACAAATTAAATATACAGTACTGTGTAGGCATGTTTTTAAACTTCGTACATACTAATATAATTTGAAATATGTTTACGCCCAGTGTTTAATATTTTATTCTATAATACTGATTTGATTTGAAATATCCGACCAGTATCTTTTTCTACCACCATGTTAAAGTAAAATATGGCAATCAGCACTTTTGTTTTTACACTGATTTTACTAGTCAAATTCGAGCAATGAACAAAATGTTAAAGAGATCCTATCAAAAACTTTCGAATCATTCAAATCTTTTCAAATCTGACGATTCGTATGATCCGTATTATTGTTTTTCCTTTATTTAGCTAGTTTGCTAATATCACAATACGAGCCCTAACACAAAAATGTTCGGACATCAACTGATTTTGCGAAAAAGTTTGAAAATTTCCTTAAGGGATTCAATATCATATGTTTTTCATTTATAAGATATAATTATGTATTGTTTTACATCATATTTATGAAATTGTTTTCAAATAAACTAATATTGATTAATATAACTAAACTAATGTTGATAAAAATGCAATATTTGCTGACACATAAATGTTCGAACACGTTAGTAAAACAAATAATAGCAAGCCATGGAAACAAAAAAAAGTGTTTCTATTTTGACATTTGACTTGAGAATTAATTCGATTATCAATTGGCTCCAAAATGTCGCGTGGTAAAGCAACAAATGGTGCAATTAGAGAATTAATAATAAAACTGTTTAACCAAGGAAAAACCTTTCGGGATATTGCTAAACAAATAAATGTCGCAAAGTCCACGGTGTCAGATATTGTGAAAAAATATGGAGAAACGGGTTTAACTCAAATTTCAAGACATGGTGCTGGTCGGCCACGCAAAGTCACTTCCCGAATGCAAAGATATCTTGTTCGGATTTGTAAAACTGATCGCCGAAGTACTGTAAGGGAAATAACAGCAAAATGGAATGAAGAAATAATTGGAAATGTTTCACGAGAAACGTGTCGTCGCTGGATCCATAAGTCTGGTTTACATTTTTATAAGGTACGTAGGTTACGTTTAAGGAAAATCTCATATTTATGCAGTAAATTCATTGGTTTAAGCAAAAGAAAAGCCATTGCTGACGGAAAAACAAAAGAAAAGACGATTAGCGTGGGCAAAGGAACGGGAAATGTGGACTTTTGAAGACTGGAAAAGAATCATTTTTAGCGATGAATCAAAATTTGATGTTTGCGTGAGTGACCATCAATCACGTGTTATAAGAAACAAAAATGAAGCCTTTCACAAATACTGCCTAAAGAGAAAATACCATCAGGTGTTATGGTATGGGGAAGCATGTCTGGTTTCAGTGTTGGAAAACTGCACTTTATAGACGGAATTGTAAACGCAGAAAAATATCAAAACATTCTTGAAACCAATTTGTTAGTGTCAATTCCAATTTTATCACCTGATGGAAACTTTACTTTTCAACAAGATGGCGCCTCCTGTCATACAGCCAAGACCACAAGAAAGTGGCTGCAGGGCAACAATATTTCCGTCCTTGACTGGCCCTCCAGCAGCCCTGATCTAAATATAATCGAAACTGTATGGCACAAGATGAAGCAGCAATTAAGAAATGATCCACAGCGCAACATTTCTGATTTGCGGGTTAAATTGCAAAATATATGGGATTCTTTTACCGCGGAAGATTGCGAAAAGCTTGTTAAAACTATGCCTGATAGAATAAAAGCTGTTATTAAGGCAAAGGGAGATGCAACCAGCTATTGATGTGATTTGTCCGAACATTTATGTGTCAATAAATATGCATTATTATCAACATTAGCTTAGTTTTATTGATCAATATCAGTTTATTTGAAAACAATATCATAAATATGATGTAAAACAATACATAATTATGTCTTATAAATAAAAAACATGATATTGAATCCCTTAAGGAAATTTTCAAACTTTTACGAACATTTTTGTGTTAGGGCTCGTATACAAATTTAGTAAAAATATACATATACGTATAAGTCAAAACATAGATAATTTAGATACAATTAAGACTAACTAAAATTCTTTAGGTTGTTACTGTTTCTGGAGAAATATTCATCAATTAAGAAATCTGTCACTTTGACTTTAAATGTAGTTACATACGTTACTGATTTAATTTTCTCTGGAAGTGCGTTATATTGATTTAGACCTTTAAAAAATAGTGAATTTTGTGTTGCACTCTTAACAACTGTTTCAATATAAACGTTATTTCTGTTCCGCGTTGGATAATTGTGCACATTAGAGTGATAATTAAGCTTCTCTTTTAGGTACATTGGAAGTAACCCGTGTAAATTAACGCATTCCGTAATAAGAGACTTTTGATTGGCATCCACCTCAAAGTTTCAAGCATTAGATTAATGCTTAATTAATATTATTCGCATAGCCCTATTCTGCAGCTTCTGTAGTCGGTTCAACTCATTTTGATTTAGTAAAAAGAGTATTGTAGAGCAATAATTAAAGTGAGGTAGAATTATAGTATTATATATAATACATTTAGTCAACTGTGATAAGCCAAATGAACTTCTAAATAGGAAATTTAACTTAAATGCAATAGTTTTGATAACAGTGTTGGCATGATCTTTGAATCTCATCTGCTTGTCAATCATTACCCTTAAGTATTTGTATAGAATTTCCTCCAATTGTTATGTTATATTGTTTATCAACAAACTGTGTATTGTTATAGTTGCTACTTATCAGCATACATTTTGTTTTATTTGTGTTAATTCTCAACAAATTATTGCAACACCATTTATGTTGCAATGTTTCATTAACAATTCTTACCAAGTTATCTGAATCCTTACAAGAAAAATATATTAGGGCATCATCAGCAAACAGGTGAATGTCACGACCCTTAAAATCAACAATGTCATTGATAGACACTAAAAACAACAGGGGACCCAATATACTTCTCTGCGGAACACCGCTGATATAGTTAATTTTCTCTGACAAAATGTTATTTACTTTTAACTTTTGTTTCCTCTTACTTAGATAATCCACACATCACTCCAATGCTTGCTCCCATACCCATACCTTTAAATTTTTTTATCAAACGGTTTTGATCAACAGTATCAAACGCCCTTTGAAGATCTATAAAAACTGCCAATGTTAGATAGTTTTTATCAAATTTATATTTCCAATCATATAAAACGCACTGGATAGCTGATTCACAGTTATGTTTGCTTCTGAAGCCCGATTGTTTTCTAGTAATAAGTTTATTTTGTTCTAAAAAATTAACAATTTGTTCACGACCTTCTCAATGATTTTTTCGATACAACTTAACATACTAATAGGCCTTAAATCTGTAGCTTTATTTGCGTTTTTTGTCTTTGGAACAGGCACTACCATAGCAATTTTTAGAGCATTACGTATTTTTGAAATTTCTAATGACGAATTTATCAAATTTAAAAGTGGTTCTGAGAGGTTGGGAAAACAGTTTTTTAAAATATTAATGTCAATGTCATCTGTGCTACTTTTATTTTTCATTGCAAAAAGAATATCTTAAAGAATCCACCGTATAGTTGAAATTTTCAAAGAAAATGTCTATTGTGTCTGTCTAAAATTTGATAATCTGGTATTGTATGATCAATCATACTAGCAATCGATTGGATACTGTCTATGTAAAATTTATTAAGAGCATTTGGCATGTCAAAAATATTTTTTATAGTAACATTATTTTCTAGTTCAAGTTCAATTAAGTTATTTGACTTATTATTTTTTGGAATCAGACATTCAAGATATTTCCACATTTCCTTTGAATTTCCCCTACTTTCGTAAATATTTTTCTCTATGTGTTTACGTTTTTCTGTTCTAATTACGTTAACGGCCCTATTTCTATGCATTTTGTATTCATTCCAATTATTTTCTGTTTTTTTCTTGTGAATAATTTTTATATGCAAGGTCTCTGTACCTTGTGGCAGCTTTTACATTTTCATTCCACCATAGAATCTAATCTACAGAATCTAATACGTTTAAAATATTTGTTACAAAATTATCATATTTTACATTAATGTCATAAATATGATAGTTCCATGCTAATGTTGAAAGTTTGTTATTAATTAAATCAAAATTTAAATCACTATTTAATAGCACATTTGTTAAAAGCATAAAATGATCTGAAATTCTTGGTGTTTTGATAACCTCAGCTGAAACGGAATCATTATTTGTTATAACTAAATTTCTTAGTGTACCTCCACTACTTCTATTTGGTCTTGTGCATTCTGTAACAATATTTTTTAATCCAGTATCAATCAAAATATCACTTAATTTCGCACTATAAGTGTTTTTAGTTAACAGGTCAATATTAAAATCTCCAGAAACAATAACTATTTGAGAATTATCACATACATTTTCTTCAGCCCAAGTGCTAAAACAATCTAAAAAATGTATACAGCTACTGCTAGGTGCCCTATATAAAGATACAATTAAAAAATGTTTGTTTCCTAATATTACCATCACAGAAACAATCCAACAAATTTTTGGAATACAAAATTTAAAATACTTTAAAACCTTCAGTCCACTGTCTACATAAATTAAAGCACCACCCCCTGTGTGTCTACTTTCACTGTCAACTCTATAATTTTTTAATCCGTCAATGTCTATTTCTGAATCATAAATATCCCCAGTCAAGCAAGTTTCAGAAACACATACTAAACTTGTTTTTTTTTTTGACTACACATAATTAGAGATTTCATCAATGTGTATAATTTATACGAATCATACGGATTCGAGCCATCTCTAGTAGTGAATATGAAAAATATACAACGTAGTTGTAAGTCAAGAATAATTGAAGAAATTAGCAAATTAGATAAATCTTGCTTATAAAGAATCGAGACTCATTAAATATGGTCATTTAGAACTACCTCAATGTCACCTCTCTATCCCTAATCTCAGTGAATCACGCTGTATAAAGTACTTTCTTTTAGGGGCGTAGCGGTACGGATTCTCCGAGTACACCTGGCAGAAAGAAAGGAACGGGCCGTGGGAGGAAAAAATCTGGTCACAATTTCGACCCCACTCCAGGCGATCCCGATAAACCGTTTGCTTGTGAACGTAAGTTTAATTGAATTGCAGCTTAATACTTATCTACCATTTTGTTTAAAGAAATATTTTACTAATTATCGAATCTTGAACCAATATTGTGTTCAGACATGTGGTAAATAAAGGAAGGTCACGTTATGTACTGTGGTTTTAACTCGGCTTTTAAAATTTTTAATTAAGTCTTAAACTGGATCGAGACTCACAATGCGAAAGCTTGTGAAGAAGTGTAAATGATGTGTTTCACGCTTGTTCTTGTTCCCCTATCGCGGCAGAGAAATGCGAAAGCTATCCACATGTTTGAATAAAATATTTTAATTGTAAAACCGCCTACGACTCTGTGCTTGAGCATGTCATTACTTCTAATAGTCTTTAAACATTCGCTAGAATGAACGTAGATCGAACTTAAATATTTGAAATGCTTTACGCTTTTGAACCAGCTTATATTTGTTATTATTTAGGCAGGGACTCGAACCGAAACAACGCTTTTTAATTCATTAATTATTAATTAAACTCATAGCAGTAGTAGATTATTGATTTATTCTAAAAGAAACATAGACTAACTATTTATTTAGATGTAAAAATAAACGATTGTAGAAATTTGCGTACCGCAGTAATGTCAGTTTTGAATGTGATGTCATCTGTCATCTCAGTTGTCATTGAGCTTCGCGGCCTAGTAGAAAAGTGGAACAATTAGGCATTGACACAAAAACTTTGTTTATATTATTTTCTACTGTATTTGTTTATCCACATCCAATCAATTTTAACCTCAAAGCTCTGAAATTGTGGCTTTATACAGGAGTGCATACAAAAACTGTTCGCTGACGGTTGACGGAAACGTTATTTAATGAAAATCATCCCAACAAAAATGTAGTACAGTTCAGTATTAATTAAAGAAATTGAAAATAGGGAAATCTCCTAGGAAACATGAATTCTTTGAAAAAAAATTGTATTCTCTGCCATATTCTCCGAACCTTATCAAATTCTTCGGAATGTGGTGAACTCTCCCGTTGGCAATACTGGTTTTTGTCGAACGAGAGTAATTTGAATTTTATTGATATTCTTGGCAAATTCTCTAAATTGTATTCCTTTCCAAATTCTCCTAATCTTGTCTAATTCTCCGGAAAACGTAGAATTCTTTGCCTAGTCTCATTACTATTGTTTGCAGAACTATTAGGAAATTTGAATGCATAGATATTCTCGCCAAATCCTTCTCTAAAATTGTATTCTCCGCCAAATTCACCGAACCTTCTCAAAATTTCCGGAAAGTGAAGAGCTCTCCTCCCATTGACAACATTGATTTTTGCTGAACTCTCTTAGGGAATTTGAGATCTCTGAAAAATTGACATTCTCGGCAATTTCTCCTCTAATTGTATTTTGTCCCCAAAATTCCCGGAACCTTATCGAATTCTCCAGAAAGCAGAGAACTCTTCACCCATTGGCAACACTGATTTTTGCCGAACTCTCCTGAGGAATTTGAATTCTCTGAAAATATTGATTTTCTCTACAAATTCCCCTCTAAATTTGTTTCACAAGTTCACTCTAAATTGCATTCTCCGCCAAATTTTCCGGAAACAGGCAACATTTAAAAATAAAAGAAAACTATAATTGATCAGAGTTACGAGTAAAAAAATTCACTAGGTATGTTAGTTTATTTATAAAAAAAGTGTGGGTTCATTTTATACCTGCCAGAAGTGCAATCGTGCAAATCATTTTGTTAAGTGGAAAATACAACTGGAATCTAATTTTCAACAATATTAGTTTATTAAGTTTACAAAAATAAATTTAAGCAGTGTAAATGAACAACAATTTTCGAAATGAAAGATGGAAAATGGAATGGTCAACAACATAAGTTTACTGTTCTGTATCTGTAAGGTGGGTTGCTCCTAAGCATTTAGGCATCATTGTGCATTCTTCAGAGGCATATAGAATCTGCCTCTCAACTTATCAGAAACCTGCTGGTTGTCACTGAGAGATGTCTAGAGCCAGTCATATGCTGGGGGTGTCTAGGGATAGCCAGTCTCTTAGGTCAAAGTCGTGCAGGTTAATAAGGTCGCCACGAGGTGTCTCTAGATGCCCCATTTTTGGGAAGTAGCCATTTGGGAGGTAACCATTTGGTGGGGTTTTACCACCTCGATGGCAAATGCCTGGGTGAAGTCATTCTGACCACCCGCTCCACAGGGCAATACGTTTATTCTTTTTGCTAAGTGATTCTTCTTTACAAAAATTACTAAACGTTATGTGAGTGTCCGTTTAATATCTAATAAATCAAACTCAAATAAAGTTACTGCTAGATAAAATGAAATAGTTGTCATGAAAAATTCGTGGAATTTTATTTAGCTACAATATTTACATTTCCAATCTAAGGTTTTAATGATGATGAGGCCCAAGAAAATTATGATTGCAAAGACTATCAAAAAAGATATTAGGTTTTTATTTTCAGTAAATTAAAGTAAACCTAAAAATGAAGATGTTTTGTTTGTATTTTTAAGTATTAAATGATGTTAATAATAAATATAATGTAAAGGTAAAAAAAAAATATTAAAACAGTTGTTGAAAGTTGGTCTATGTTAAAGTTGATATTAAAAATGGCGATTTAGAATTTCGGTTCGGGTTTAGATAACCAGGCACTTGGGTTCTCAAAATTTATAAATCGATCCTGAATTATTTACTAAATAGAAATCATTTTGGTTCCAGTCCCTAGTTCTGAACAATAACTAAATGAATGTGGATCATTCGTAATGAAATGAGAACAATTTTGGCATAAATATATTTCTGATTCTATGCCTGCGAATTTCGATAACATGTAGCTTATATTAAAACACTACATTTTGTAATAATCCCTAGACGATATTCTGCATAATAAAAGACTGTTTCAAAAGACGTCAACACTTTATAATTATTATGCAGCTTAAAGGAAGTCTAGTATTGACAACATACTCATCATTGAGAGCAGCCATAACTTTCGTTTCTGCTGGATTTATTTATATTTATTAATTTTATGGCTTAGTGTTAGTTACTGCTGTTGATACAAGCAAAAAAAATATGAATTATGATCAAACAATTCATATTAGATACCTACATATTAGTTAACTACTATTAACAGAAAGATCATTAAAAAATTACAAACCTAGAAGAAATATTTTGAAATGTGCTCTCTGAGCAAGAACAGGCTACATATAGTAATGGGGGCCCTTATCGGACATTGCCGATTCAAAGTACACCTCAATAAATTTAGTAGAAAATAATGAGTGCAGTTTCTGTGAGGGGAAGGACGAGTCCTCTATTCACATTCCGAATGAATATAGACCCTAGCGACAATGTTCTCATTTTCACACGAATGAACCACGTATATAAAGAATTGTTTATTTAAAACATACAATCATCTAAATTATAGCTGGTAAAAAAATGTAGTTTAAAATTTAAAACTGAATCGGCATTGGTTTTTTTTTTTTCAAAATTTCAGTGTGTGGGGCGCGTTACAAGACCAGACCCGGGCTGACGTACCACTATCGCCACTCGCACAAGGAAGGCGCAAGCGATGACAACTCGCGCGACAGCATCGCTCCCACCCCCTCCACCCAAACGGGCGGCGCCCCGAGCTCGATGCTGCCCAACAGCCCGAGTGGTTTGGGCCAAAGCAACCCCGTCGCCGTCGGGGTTGGGCCTGCGCCAGTAGGCCCGCCCGCTGCTGGTGCGGCCACCGCCGGTGGCCCGCCCAATTTGGCTGGACCGATGGGCGAAACGAACAGCAGATCCGAAGGACAAGTGTATCAAGATAGTTACGTGTCTTTTTTGAACCAGACACCCGGTACTGCCTTTGTTAATATTTCTTACTTCTCTTTTTAGATATTGTATTTTGCATGCATGAGTAGATGGAATGATTTTGCTAATTTTTAATCGATTTCTGCTTGATTATATTGGGTAAGTATTTTTTTTTTGGTTTAATATCGAATTAACGAAGTTGGGCTTTAGCCGATATATTTGGTGACGCAAATTAAATGTAAAAAAAAGAACTATTCACTAATTTGGATGATGTTCAACCGAGCCGTGATAGTTTTGATGAACATCAATCAAGATTATAAAATAAGTTGCCAGTTCCTGATATTTATATTTCTGTAATTTACGTTAATAAATACTTTATTATCTACTGTAGATCCGTATTCTTTTCGATCCGAATTAAACCTCAACAGGTTATGGGCCCAGGATATCCAGAAAATCGTATTGCGGAAGTAGATAACTGAGAAGCTCTAGCAGCTAAAGTAATAAATATCAGGAAAGTTTATTTTATAATCTTGACTGACGTTCATCAAACCTATCACGGCTCGCTTGAACAGCATCCAAAGATAGTATACTTTCTCCAACACTTCCCCTCGTGTTGTGATTGGCGGTTAATATTTTCAAATTTGTATTAGACCTAAAGAAAAAAAAGTAGTATGCTATATATGGTGTATAAAGAAATGAATACTATCGCTCTTTGGTGTTACATGTAACTTTTTTTCCCAATTCACTCTCTTGTTCATGCTATTTCTTTCGAGTTATAATTTCTATGTCGTTGTTCTCCTATATCCTATATTGACATTGAAAAAAGATGTCTTCATATTCTGTTTCTAAGTCCTACAGGAATTGCTGGAACTGGCGGTGATTCAAACATCTTCATTTAATAAAATTTACCTAAGAAATAACTGTATTACGAGCTTAAATTTTAATGATTTAGCACACTGATTTTCTTGATAAATTATGCAGTAAAATGTAAATAGATTATTAATGACAATGTCATTGTTTATTTCTCTGTGATAATTCTGATTTTATTTTAGTCACCACTCCGACACTTTTCCCTATCATCGAGGCAGATTCATCTGTAGTGACACCGCTTAACTTTGCCCAGTTCAATTTAAAAGCACTTGAATAAAAAAATAACCAATCATTTTCTTACTAATATTTATTTTCTCATTTTTGTGGGGAATAAAGTTCACTGTGACAGCACGACATTGTTGAGAGACGCCTCTATAATAGTTATTGTGATTCAGCACCAGTGACAATATTAGAAAAAAATATTTGTACAATTATGAAATTTCAATAATATCTAAAATATTTCGGCATGATCCTCGTAATATTGATTGCAATTTCTGATATATACTAATAACCTTACTAATCAGTGTCCGAAAATTGTGTGTACATAGAGCTACCACAGATTTATGGGCTCAAAATAAGTTAATTTTACCATAAATTCGTTTGGCCGCCAGAGGTCAACAAAATTATATAAAGTTTTCTTCGTTATTCTCCAGAATTCAAAAGATCAAACTTGGTTCGAATACTAGGTGTTTTATGACCAAGTAAAATCAGCTGGAACAGTTTTTCTATTGCGATCATAAGCGTCTTCTTCCGTCATTGAAATATAAAATTATGGAATTTTTTCTCAAAAAGTGTATTGTGATAAATATCTTGTGACTTTTTAAAGCTTAAAATGTCCTTTTTTACGGCACATGTCCTTTGTTATTTTAACAACACATTTTTTTAAAAGGACCTGTGTTTTATAAAAATATAAGCTGAGGACCTTTTAAGTACCAGGGGTTAAAACTGATGATGACCATTTTTTTAGAAGCTCCCCAAAAAAAATTTTTAACCGGATCCCTGTCGTCACCGTTGTCCCTCTTTTCGTAAATCTGACAACTCTACCTTTATTCACTTTTCAAAGAGGTGACAACCCTAAAATACCTAGGTATAAATTTATATTGTCAGTATAAGTGTCATATGTCAACAAATATAGGCAACAACCGACCTTTATAACAAAAAACAGAAAGGAGGTACTAGATGTAACAATAGCATCAACATACTTGAGTAATTTTGTTACAGACTGGCATATGTGTCTGACGAAGAGAGTTTATCAGATCATAGACACATAAACTTCAATATTAAAGGTAATATTGCAAAAGAAACTTATCGGAATCCCAGGAAAACAGACTGGGAGGCATACAATGTTTCCCTGGAATGTAATCTTCCGAAGATGAGAAAGGCGATAAGAACAACAACCGACCTAGAAATGGCTGTGGATGAGTTTAATGACACAGTCACTAGCGCTTTCAACGATACCTGTCCCTTAATAGCAAGGAACTCTATCAGGAAAGTTCCATGGTGGAATGATGACCTTGCTATTCTAAGGAAAGAGGTGAGACAAAAATTTAATAAGGCTAAAATAACAGCCGAATGGGAACTATATAGAACCATACGCACCTGTTACAACATAGCCTTACGAAAAGTCAAGAGAGAGTCTTGGAGAAGGCACTGTAAGGAGATAGAGCACTCAAGAATGTTCCAGGCTCCAAAAATTCTCTCAAAAGACACACAACACACAATAAACACCCTTAAGAATGAACTGGGGGAGTACACAATCACAGGGAAGGAAACAGTAAGGGAACTCTTCAGGGTTCACTTCCCTGGTGCACAAACCATAGCACACACACCGGCTAACCGGAATCTAAACGGACTGGAAGCTCATAATAGAGCCAACAGGGAAGATTGGAGGATAGCCAAACAAGTGGTGAACTATGATAAACTGAAATGGGCAATTAGCTCATTCGAACCATATAAATCACCGGGCATGGACGGGATTTATCCAATAATGTTACAAAGAGGTCCTGATATTTTATACAGCAGACTCTGTAACATACTCAGAAGTAGCCTGGCCTTTGGACACATACCAAAAGCTTGGAGAAATATTAGGGTAACTTTTATACCAAAACCTGGAAAAATGCGACAGGAAACGGCAAAGTCCCTAAGACCAATAAGTCTTATGTCCTTTGTACTTAAGACTTTGGAAAAACTGCTAGATAGGCATATTAGAGACGGGATATTGGTTCAGAGGCCAATATACCAAGGCCAATACGCCTATAGTGCAGGGAAATCAACTGAAACAGCTCTCCATCAATTAATAAAAAGGGTGGAGAACACACTGGAAAACAAGGAGATAATGCGGGGAGCATTCTTGGATATCGAGGGTGCATTTGACAATACCTCCGTTGAATCGATCATTAGATCTCTCGAAACACAGAGGAATCGAGGACACATGCGTGTCCTGGATCGACTCTATGTTAAGGGAGATAACTATACACATAACCCTTATGGGAGAGGGTAGCGAGAGGATGTCCGCAGGGTGGAGTGCTGTCTCCACTCCTGTGGAACGGACAGCTTAGGGCTCTCAAAGATAAGGGACATAGAACTCTGGGATATGCCGATGATCTAGTGATCATGGCACAGGGAAAACACAACACTATAGTAAGAGATCGAATGCAAGAGGCTCTAAATATAGTAACAAAATGGACAGAGGCGGAAGGACTAAACATTAGCCTAAACAAATCTGACATAATTGCATTCACCCGCAGGAGGAAATTGGAGGGACTAGGGCCTCTAAACCTAAGAGGTGCAAGCATCTAGCTTAAGGGGGAGGTAAAATATCTCGGGGTTATGATTGACTCGAGACTTACCTGGAACCAGCATCTAGAAAAAACCACAAAGAGAGCGGAAACCTCGTTAATGATGGCAAGGCGATCCTTTGGAAAAAAATGGGGGTTAAAACCAGACATTGGCTTTATAACATGGTGGTGAGACCGATAATAACATACGTAGCTTTGGTGTGGTGGCCAAAGACACAGCAAAGGAAAGCAATAACGAGGCTAAGCAAGGTACAAAGACTTGCCTGTCTTGGAATAACGGGGGCAATGAAAACAACCCCCACTGCTGCAATGGAAGCACTAATAGGACTCCCACCTCTTGACTATGTGATACAAGGGGAGGTAAGATTAGGTGCTTACAGATTAGGGAATACACTGGAAAATCTTGACATTAGGCCAGGTCACATGAGTATCTCAAGGTTAGTGACAGGAGACGTGTTAGACATGAGATCAGACCACATAACCAAGAGGTACTCTTTTAATACTCCATTTGAGGTTTTAATAAAGGAAAGAGCGGAGATCACCATAAGGGAGCCCAATGCCCAACGACAGGAATAAACCTGGTATACAGACGGCTCTACGACTGCGTAAGGTACTGGGGCAGGAGTATTCTCCAAAAACCCTGATACTAACCATAGCTATGCTATAGGAATACATTCCTCGGTATTTCTGGCCGAGGTATACACAATTTTGCAATGTGTAAATACGAACAATGAAAGAGCTGTCGAAAATCAGCATATTCATATATATAATGTCAGACAGCCAAGCGGCACTTAAGGCCATATCGAGTCAGAAAGTTACGTCGAGGCTGGTATGGGAATGCATCGAAGAACTAAGAACACTGGCAGACCGAAATAGAGTGAAACTATTTTGGGTGCCAGGTCACCAAGGGATCGAAGGCAACGAAAAGGCTGACGAACTTGCAAAAAGAGGGCCAGAAGAAACACCGGAACCAGACACAAACCCAGGAGTACCAAAAAGTACAGTCCGGGGTTTCATAAATGACTGGATTCGGGAACAACATATCAACTATTGGGGAAACACCCCAAAACAGGCACATGGAAAAGCCTTCATAGGCAGACCATGTCCCAAAAGAACTGGAGAACTACTCTTAATGAATAGGAACCAGTTGAAAGTGATAACAGGGTTCATGACTGGGCACGCCCCAGTAAAGGGACACTTGAACAAAATTGGCATGTACAATGGGGAACTCATTTGCCGACTATGTCACAAGAAACCAGAAACGGCCAAACACATACTGCGCGAATGCAAAGCTCTAGATCGCAAAAGACAGGCTCTTTTTGGACAACCCCAGGTTAATCCAACAACGTATAGAACCCACTCACCCAAGGACCTGTAC